ATTACCTCTTCCACACTCTGCTGAGGGGTTTTCTCATTAACTTAATCAGTGCCACCCAGTATTTACTAAGTGGTACGATAGTTATAGGGGTTTTAAGTGTAAAGAAGTCAGTGCCCTGCACGTGAGGACTCCCCGAGGGTGGAGGCTTTTTGAACTACCGTTGCCTGTCTGATCCATCTGTGTTTCAACAGAGTCTCTTGCTAAAATGTCAACTCCAAAATTTAAACTAAAATAAAATACAATGTCTACTCCATAAGGGCAGATATTATATCTGTCTTTGTATTTGTGGAAGACATTTTTATTCATGAGATGAATATTCCTTACCGTAAAGTTTAAAACAATTTAAATATAGGGGATTGAGTAAGCAAAGAGTTAACACAATGAAGTAGTAGGCAGCAATAAAAATAAGAATGAAATAATGTCAAGGGGGAAAAACAAATAAAATAGAGCGATACCAATTGTATTCGTTATCTAAAGCATCCTGAACTTTGCCTTTTCTTGGTGTGTGCTCCAGCTATTCCCGTGTTTGGGATGGCTTTTTCCTGCCTGTACCTGTAGACATTCTACGTCTCTACGGCTCAACTGAAGCACCACATCCTCCCTGAAATAGGATGACTTCCGCATCCCTCCATCCTCCTGGAAGATGCTGGTAATTCTCACCCATGTGCCTCTGGCTTTACCTTCAGTGTTCGTGGGTGGACTTCCAACTGCTGGTAGTGGCGTGTCTTTGACTGAGAATCTTCTCCAAGCCTGGAGAAGCCTGCTGCATCCACTTGCTAGGCAGGCCAGAATGTGGGGAAGTAACTCCCGCCAGAAAAGCCCCTGCTCCAAGACTGCCAGAAGGTGACTGTTTTAATCAGCTTGGGCTGCCATAGCAAAGCACGGCAGACTGGGAGGCTTAAACCACAAGTTCCTCTCTCGTGGTTCTGGAGGCTGGGAAGTCCAAAGTCAACGTGTCTGCCATTTAGGTTCCCAGTGAGAGCTCCTCCTGGTTTTCAGAGTCTTCCTCCTGTGACCTTACATTACAGAGAGGGAGGGAGGGGGAGAAAGGGGAGGGGAACAGAGAGAGAAAGAGAGAGACAGAGAGAGGGAGAGAAAGAGAATCTCTGGTGTCTCTTCTTGCCCTGTTATGAGGACCACACCCTCATGACCTCATGTAAACCTAATTACCTCCCAAATGCCCCATCTCCTAATACCATCACATGGGGGTTAAGACTTAAACATACGGATTTTGAGGGGACACAACATTCAGTCTATAGCATTGATGTGTAATCATCTCAGCTCCTTTGCTCTGTGGGTGGAATAACCCTGAGGTCGCGTCCATATCATTTCTGGGTTTCCCCGGGGGATACAGCTCCTCCCACGGCCCCCCTGTGGTGACCGGTTTGTCAGCCACCTTCTCTTATCTGTCTCACTTCCCCACTCACCTTCCTTCCTACACCCTCTAGAGAAAGCTACCTGTTCTCACATCCTTGTGTCAGGCTCTGCTCCCCATCTGGCTCCTGTATTCCTGTATTGTAATGTCTCTCATGTTATTCTCTTTACTGAGGTTTTGTGAATGTCTGGGCCCTTGTAACTAAACTGCAAACTGAGAACAGAAACCTTTAAATACTGTATCCCCCAAAGCCTAATAAAGTACCTTGCCCATAGCAGGTGCCTTAAAAACAAAACAAAAACAAAAAGAAAACAAAAAAACCAAAAACCAAAAACAAAAACTCTAGATCAATTATCTACATTAAACCAATTGGGGATTTTTTAAGAAGAAAGGGACCATAGAAATCTAACACCTAAACAGTTCACAGCATTCTTTGCGGCAGGAAATAAAACAGATTATTCAAGCAAAGTTTTATGAATCGTAATTATTGATTTAAAATCTTGTAAACTACTGTTTCAAGTTCAAAGTGAAGCTTCAAGTTTAATCAATATATGGAATATATTTTGGCCTGTTCTGGTTGAAAAAATTCAGTATCCATTGAGGGAATCAGCGGGCACAAGATGTGAATTGAGTCCATATTTCCTAACAGCGTTCAGAAACCCATGTGGTCCAGCCCCCACTGCCCTTTCTAGCTTTATCTTCCATTC